AGACACCCCCCCCCCAAATTCAAAGACCCAATTCAAAAATGGGCATCTGAAATGAACAGACATTTCTCAGACAAGGAAGTAAAAGCAGCAAACAAATATATGGAAAAATGTTCAACATCACTGGTCACCGGAGAGATGCAGATGCAAACAACACTGAGATTTCACCTCACCCCAGAAAGAATGGCTGGTATCAAGAAATCAACAAATAAAAAATGCTGGCGGGGGTGTGGGGAGAAAGGAACCCTTCTGCATTGCTGGTGGGAGTGCAGACTGGCGCAACCACTGTGAAAGTCAGTATGGAGATACCTCAAAGAGCTAGGTCTAGAGGTCCCATTTGACCCAGCTATTCCCCTGCTGAGTATCTTCCAAAAAAATTATACATATGTGATATATATGCACCCATGTTCATAGTAGCACGGTTTGTAATAGCTAAAGCTTGGAAGCAGCCCAAGTGCCCATCAATTGGAAACTAGATAAAGAAAATGTGGTTTTTTAAAATAAAATGGAGTACTATTCAGCCATAAAGAATGAAAAACTAGAGTCATTTATAGCTAAATGGATGCATATCGAGGCCATCCTCTTAAGTGAAATAAATAGGACACACATGTGCAAATACCGAATAGTTTCACTAGTGTGAGAAACTGATAGTGTAAACAAGGTTAAAATGATTAAAATGAATAATTGATATTTTGAAATGGAAAAAAATGTCCAAAGATGAAGGAGTGAAGGGAGGGGAATGGGAAAGGTGAAGAGGGAAAGGAAAAACTATGAGAAAAAAAAAAAAGGAAATGAAATCTATGTAAATAGGGAAGGGCGGAGGGGGTGAAGGGTGCACAGGTGATGGGGGAAAAAAATATAAGAACCAAGATGTATCATGTACAGATACAAACATCCAATGATAAATGTAAACGAATTGTATACCTAAAATGTACCAATAAAAGAACTAAAAGAATAAAAAAAAAATAACAGCAACAACAACAACAAACTTATTCTGGATGTTTCCATGAAAGTGCTTTTGGATAAGATTAGCATGTTAAATCAGTGGATTTTGAGTAAAGCAGGTCACTCTCCAAATATGAATGAGATTTGATCAATCATTTGAACATCTATTTTCCTAAGCAAAAGATTTTGAATTTCCTAAGTCTTCATGATTGCATAAGCCAATTCCTTAAAACATATCTCTATCTAATACAGGTAGATCGGTATTTATACATAAATACAAACACACATCCTATCCTTTTTGCTTCTCTGGAGAATCCTAATATAAAAGGTTATTACATTTTTTAAAGCAAACAGTTTTCCTTCACTTATTTAATAAGCATTCACTGTAGAACTATAATAGTCATCCAACATTACTATACAATGAAATAAAAATCAGGGTAAATTAGTCAAAATTTCATTAGGATCATGACGTCTAAGGTAAAAGAGAAAGACGTTGTAGAATGATTATTCAACTTGTAATTTTTGTAATCTGCCTCTCCAAATTGCTGCTTTTTTTGCATTTGTTAGCAAAAGTAACCAAATCATTTAAACACTCTTTCAAGGGCTTCATTTTCTTTTTAAAATAGGAATTGTACTCTTTGTATCTGAGGGCCAAATGGACAGCTGTCAAATTAGTGTAAAAGCATAAATATGGGAAGGTGTAATGATTTTGTTTTAATGTGCTGAGAAAAATCATTCTGCTTGAAAGCAAAGCAATTTATTTTTCTTCTGGAGCTGAGATCACAAAGCTAGTTCAACCCTAAGGCCTTTGATTTCCCTACATCTGGTGATGTTCTCCAAAGTCTTTTTCCAAAAGTTCTTTCAAAAGATTTTATTCTTTTGGATTTCTTTTGCTATTTCTCCATTGTTGTCCCCCACCCTCGTAAAATACCTGCCTTTACTGCTGCCCAGGGATGTATTCCTGATGCCTCAGTTGAGTCTGATGTCCCCAAGAAAATGACCAGCTCTGGGATCTGAATCCTCCCAACTCTCTTTCTGCTGTACTTTACTGATATTTCAATGTGTTCCAGCTTTTGTAACAGAACACCATAGATTAAGGAGTCTAAACAACAGCAACTTACTCCTCACAGTTCCAGAGGCTGTGATTGGGGGCCCATATGGCCGGGTTCCATGAGAGTTGTTTTCCTGATTTGCAGATGGCTGTTCTTACTGTGTCCTCTCAGAGAAAGAGAGGAGAGCTCTTCTTATTTTTTTTAATCCCTTTCATGCAGGGTTCACCCTTGTGAACTAATCACTTGCCAAAGGCCCAACTGCTTAATACCACCATGTAAGAGATTAAAGCTTTCACTTAAGAATTTTGGGATGGCATGAACATTCAGTCCATAGCAAATTGTGCCTGTCCTGTGGTGCATAATTTTTACTTCTAAAGCTTTAACTACTGCAGTAGATAAACTAAGATGCATCAGTGGGTTGACTTATTGCTTTATTTTTACCGCAAGAAACACAAAACCAAGAGAATGGTAACCTTGTGGAGAAAGTTTCTTCTCACATAAAATGAGGTGACAAAGAGGACAAACATCAGACTTCTTGTTTGATGGAAGGACAAGAGGAATGTGAACATTGTTCCTATGACAAAAGATGGGTATGTCACTAAAGCTATGTACTATAGATAATTTCACAAGACAAACTTTCTACAACTCTTCCTTTGTATAATAGGACTTCTCTATTTAAACAATTTTAATATCCTTAAAACCGAGATTGTACTGGTTATGTAACACTGCATAAAGGAAGCAGGTTGAAATTTTATCAAATACATTTTCACATGTAATGAGCTTATCATATGGTCCTCTCCTTTATTTCATCATTATGCTAAATTATGTCAAGTGATTTCTTAATGTTAGCAAAACTTTCATTCTGGGAATAAACCCAATTTTTATGATATATTATCCTTTTTACATATTCCTGGATTTGATTTGCTAATATTTTGTTTAGGATTTTTGCATTTGCAATTATTTTTTCTTGTCTTGTAAGTTTGGGTACCTAGTTGGTGCACTCTAATAAATAGAGTTGAGAAACAGTTCTTTGTTTTTTATTCTCTAGAAGAGTTCATATACAATTTGTGTTATTTCTTACTGAAGATTTTGTAGAATTCATTGCTAAAGCCATCTGAGAACTTTGTTGAATGGTTTTTAATCACATATCATTATGGTTTAAATCTAGACTGTTCCTCCAGAGCCTCATGTGTTCAGAGTTGAGGATTTTAGAAGGTAATTAGATCATGGGCTCCAGTACTCAGCAATAGATTAATCTGCTGATGAATCCATAGCTGAATGTGTTGTTAGGAGGTGGAGCCTTGTTAGTGGCAGGTCAGTAGGGTTGTGACCTGGAAGGGTACCTCTCCCTGCCAACATCCTCTTGGCTCTCTGCTTCTTGGTCACCATGACGTGAGCAGCTTTCTTCCATCAAACCCTTTTTGCCATGTCCTTCCAGCCTTGGAGTTGGCCAAATCTAGGCTGAATTCATTAATACCACAGGCGAAAATAAATCTAGCCTTCTTTAAGTTACACATATTTGGGCATTTTGTCCCAGCAAGAAGAAAGTGACTAAGACATATATTTATTGCCATTAAATATTTATTTATTAATGCTTTACAATATGCCTTATTTTCTTTAGGGAATTTTTAAATTTAAAATTCAAAATTTATTAGCATAAGGATGTTTATACTTTATTATTCTTTTAATACATAAATATCTACAATGCTTCCTTTTTCATCTCTGGTTTTATAATTCTTTCCTTTTTTGGTCTTCATTTTTTGACTGCCTTAACCCCTTTGCTTTAGAGTTAGTTGAGACAGTTGAAATTTATCTCAAGATCCCAGCTCTTTATCTTCAGAGCCTCAATATCTTAGTTTTATTAAAATACCTCAAGGGGAAATTTTCTACAAAACTCCAAGCTTTCTTCAGTTCATTACTCTTGTTTGTAGAATCTTGCTACATCAAATCATGGCCAAAGTACTCAAACAGGTGTGTGCATATGGGGGATATTCTTTACTTTTGCTAAGCTATCTCTGAATAACATGATAATCAATACATTTATTTATAAATATGACACTTCAGTGCTCACAAGTTCAAACTGCAATATGAGCCTCATTTCCAAGGATTGGAATTCTCATTTTATTATTAAAATCTAAATTTATATTGCTTATTTGAAAACCTTCTTGCTCTGCCTTCTCATGTTGAATTTACAGATATAAAATTCTAAATATTTTTATATGAACAGCTACTAAGTAGCACTTTTACTAGTGTAGTAGATTCATTTAACTTATATACTGGATCTTATATTAAAAATAATATCTGATTTAAATCATTCTAGTCTTAGGAGAAAAAGACTTGCAGCAAGTATGCAGCTTGTTATATAGATCTTAGTAAATCTTGCCTTTTTGATAGTTTTAAATTTGTATTAGATCACAAAATGTTAGCTGGTGAAACAAAAGGGAAAAATGCCAAAATAGACTATCAAAACAGGGAAAACTGAATTGGAAAATAATTTTATATACAAATGATTAAATGGAGGAAAAATATAAACATATGTGAGCTTTTAATTAGATGTTGGTTTCTTTCCATACTGCAAATTTATAACCATTTATTTATTTGGGAAACTGAAAATACTTAACATAAAGCATATTTTAGAAATACAGAGAAAGATTTAAGTATGTAGAGTTTGACTTTAATTTCTGCCCAAGTACCACCAAATCTAGAGGAATAGGAGAAAGGCCGTAAACTCAGCCAACCAACTCATTCCAAAGGAGATACCAAGACCAGATACATAACTGCTTCCTCCAGGCCAGTGATGTTGGCTTTCAGCTACCATAGCTGATGCAGAACAAAAAGGGAAACAGACTATGGTGGGGTGGCTGCATCCAGAAGTTGGATCCAAGACATATTCAGATGGAACTTGAATGTTAGTAGTGTTGGCAGTTAGCATTGAACTTCTGAATGGCTATTTTAATTTTAGCTTCATCTCCAAGGGCCAGGGCTTCTTCTAAAGTGGCCGCAGACTGTTTTGCCTTCTGTTTGCCTAAAGATACAATGAAGCATACTATTTTAAAGTTGGCTAGATCCTCTGGCTCTGGCTCCCTGAAGACTGTCTCTCTATTTTTCTTCCAGGCAAGCCGGGGAACCAGGATGAAATGCAACAAACAAACAAATAAGAAAGACCGAGTTTTCCTGATTCAATCGGCCTATTTCTTTTACTCAAGAGTCTGTGTGGAAGTGATAGATAATTATTCTTCCAAACAGTTGCTTTTCACTTCCATGATGCAGTGCAGCTGGGACTAGACCGCCCCGTCAAAAATTCCATTTTTCAGCAGAACCACATCCTCATAAATGATGTGATGGCACTTGTTTTCTACAATGGCTTATAAGCAGAACGAGTCACTTCTCACCTCTAGGTGGGTAGGAAGCAGGTGGGCGTGTCCTGTCCTCTCTCTTATCCTGTCTGTTTGTTCAATGTTCGTGCCCAGGAAGATCTCAGAAACCACTTTTAGATAGCAGAATCTCCTCAGTTAAGGTTTCTAGATAAGTATCCCAAACGAAGTGTCTTTCCTCAACAAATAGGACGTCACACACTAGACTTTGTAAAGTGAGAGAAAAAATTGTATTACGTTGGTGAGAGTGTTTTTAAAAGACAATTGTCTCAATACCTAGTAGTACCCTAACAATAGTGCTTTCATCTCAGTCATACACATATACACACAAATACATGCACTCACACATGGAAATATACTTAAGCAACTTACCTCGAAGGTCCCCTAGACCACCTGCATAAATCAGGAAAATCCAATCAGAAGTCAGATATACTCTACAGAGATTTGACCTCACACAGCTTTGGGAGCTAAGCACTCCTAGCAGGGCTGTAGTCTTTGCATGCATGTGATGCTAGGGCTTGAAGTCCATGGGACAGGCCAGAACCCGTAGGCACAGCTGGAATGCACAAAGACAGACTGGAATCAGCTTCAGTTTTCAATGCTTCACCTTGAAGATACAATACAGGACATCTTTCATTGTGGAGACAAATATACACGTAGCATATGAGTTGGAGAAACTGAAAAAGGATCCAGTGGCAAGTGATAAAGCTCCAGTTTTGTTTGCTCTCCCACACCAAGGAGGAAGACAGCAGGTGAGCAGCAGTGTTTGTAAGCCTTCATCCAAGGACCTTGGCCCAGCCTTCTAGCATTAGAAAGGAGCATCACTACTGATTAGCATCTACTCTCTAAATCTTACATGAAAATGCGTGGCATGAATCACTATCAGAAATAGGAAATGTTGTGCACGTAGTTCATCCCAGCCAAGTTGACACATGACAAAGCCATTACATAGTTCACTGGTTAAATAACCAGCCAATTGCTGATATTTAAGAGGTTACTACTCAGTTATTCAACACATAGGCCAGTTATTAGCCAATATTCAGGAAATACCTGGAGATAAAAATATTTAAAAATATAGTTTAAAACTTTAAGAACTCACCATAAAGTGAACGAAACAAATGTACAAATAAAAAATTATGTCAGTGCAGTGCCGTTGCTATTCACTGGGCATTGTATAAAGACATGGGAACAGTGCAGAATATTGCGCTAGTGATTACACTTGACTACCTTGCCTACATCTATATGTGTAAACATCCAGGAAAACACCACATTTCCTTCATTCCAACAACTTCCAATCTGCTTTTAGCAGTCAGCTGGATCCCCTACTGTCTTCTAAAGGCATTAGACGAAGAGTCACAACTATAGAAAAAAGCAGTAAACCTTACCTTATCGCCAGATGCTGGAGTTGAAGCTAAAATTGGTCACTAGATGAAAGCAAAGCCCATTGTGCTATTTCAAATTAATATGGTATATGGGTGAGGCAAACAAAAAAGAACAAAGATTGTAGACACTGTGCAAAGTCATTTTTCACTTACTATTTACTTTACCAAGAGAATTTCATGGTAATATAGGAAGTCTATGGCTGCCAAGAAATGGAATCAATTGGCCCTTCTGACACTGACTGCTATAACTCTGTGTAGGTCCATTAACAAGGTGCAGCTCACATAAGGTGCTGTCAAACTCTTCAAGGAATTTCATCAACATTACTTAATTAATCAACATACAGCAAGAAAATTAAAAGACTATCATTATATCCCTCACTTTTCAAGTGATAAAACTGAGGGCACAGACACATGTATTCAAAGTCAGGAACCATTTATGACAAAGCGAGAGAGAAAGGTGACATCTCGGACTCTTCTTGAGTTCACACTGCCAGTCCCAGTTCACCTGACAAGAACTGAGGAATTATGTGGCTCACAATACTAAGGTTTTATTTGGATTTAGTTGCTATGTCCTCCACCGCTCCCCCACCTTAGATAGGACTAGCTGTGTTGATTCCAATTTCTTTAAACAATCTGCAACAGTATTTCCTGTAGACTCAGGTAAAACAGGTGCAAATTTGTGGATTCCAAAGTGAATGAAGCATAAAGTGGCCCAGACCTTTGAAATCTGAACTCTTCAATTCACTGCAGTGATTTTGATTGTGATTCTGGAATTTTTTTTTAATTCAAAAATACTGAAGACCAGTGTTGAAACTAAATTGTTTTGTTAAGTGTTTAGTAGTGCACACAGAAGTAGAATGGGCTTACTTTAGTATCTAAACTGGGATTTGTTTTGTTTTGAGACATATTCTCACTTTGTGGTTCATGCTGGCTATGAACTGACTATGTATCCCAGGCTGGCCTCGAACTCCCAGCAATCCGCCTGTCCCAGCCTCCCAAATCCTGGCGTTACAGGTGTGCACCACCACACCCAGCTCCAAACTAGGAGGTTTTGAAAGTGAAGAGCATCCTATTACTCATCATTCCAGAAATTAAGTGGAAACCAGCACTGTGTGACAAATGTAGACAAGTTGGCCTGCATCTCATGCACACCCGGTGATCTTTCAGTGTGTCCTTTTGTTAGCAAATGTGTGGCAACATTTGCTCCCTGAGTCTACATCTTCATCACTCATTGTTATTTTGTCTTTGAATGTTCGTTACGCCTCACATGAGACATTTAGTATATTCATTTTCCAGGGCTGTAGTGATTTGAACAATGAAACTTAATGAAACAATGAACTTAAGTGGCTTTGAACCATGAAAATGTAGTCTCTGGTAGCTCTGGAGGCTAGGTGTCTCTACTCAAGGGCTTTTCTCTCTAAAGGGTGTAGAGGAGCATTTGTTGTGTGCCGTTCTCTTTGCCTCTGGTGTTGATGGCCATGCTTGGCTTTCGTGGCTTGTAAAACTCTAAGGACAGAGCTCTTCCCATGTGCCTGTGTCTCTTCTCTTATAAGGAAGCTGGTCATTTTGGATCAGGATCCACTGTAATTATCCTACCCTAACTCAATCATATCTGCAAAGACTACGTCTAAATAAGTTCATATTCACAGATAGCTGGGGTTAAGAACTTCAGTACATCTTTTCAAGATCCACAAGGTAACTCATTAGAGGTAACAACAGAATTGAAGAGCATACAGTCAGAATGAAACAATTTGTATTCCTCAGGTTACAGTAATGGCTCTGTTGTCTCTGGAGGGTATTTTCAGCTCCTACTGTTGTCACTTCTTTTTTTTTTTAATTGTCACTTCTTGAACAAATAGAGATGTGGAGGAATCAAAATCAGGTTACTGAAAGGGATTCTGAAGAACTACAGAGCATCAAGGAAATTATTTCACGAGACCTAAATTCATCATGGAATAAATAGTCTTAGGGAATACAATATTCTTCCTTTATGGCATGTCTTTTTAAAAAATTATTATTCCTTTCATTTCTTTCTCTTAGTTGATTGACGTGGCTAATGGTTCCAGAACTATATTGAACAAGAGTGGTGATAGTGGACATCCTTATCTTGTTCCTGATTTAGTGTGAAGGATTTCAGTTTTTGACCATTTAGGATGATATTGGCTGTTGATTTTTCATAGATGGCTTTTATCAGTTTGAGGTAGAGACCATCTATTCCAATTTTTTGCATAGTTTTTATCATAAATG